ATGGGCTTTTGATGGGTGATTTCATCTGTTGTAAGGTGCTAGATATGTTTCTTTCTCCATTTGGTTTTGAACTTTTGGAAGTCCAGAAGCTTTGTTGAGAAGATGCTCCATGATAGATAGTTCTTCTACCAACTGAAAGACCATGTTGCTTCATAAAACCAACTGCTTATCGATATGATGCTTTAAATTCTGTTGTGAAGATTTTAGGTTCCAGAGCTTCAAGTCTGATTTTAATGCGTGAAGCATCGATGTTTGTTGACTCATATCTATTATCCACTCCATTAGTGTTTTCTGTAAGCCTGGAAAACTTGATGGTACCCAACGTTTTGCTTTTTTATTATACAAAACCATAATCGCACTCGACTTCCTGCTCGATTGTCGTTGGATTCCGCATGTTTTACTGCTAACAGCTTTTCTACTGTAGTATAGCATTTCTTGGAATTCGCTGTTAGCGCTTATAATGATAAAGTGACACACCCTAAATGTCGAAACAAACGCAATTCATCACGTAACTCTAAATAAGAGAAGGTTTACTGAGGAAAGTCTTCCTTCATTTAGGCAGAGCGATGAGTTAGGCTAGTTTAGGCTCGAATCGAGCCATACCCGGTTCCCCACTACTCCAGAAAGGAGTAGAGACGGCTACAGAGCGCTGTTGCCAAGAGTGCGAAATGAGCCCTGCAACAATGTCTCACGGCTGTACGGGCGCTTGTTTAATATTTAAAATGATGTTATTTTCTACGCGACTATAATTCCCACCGCCGTTTTAGCAGACTATAATAAGTCAATATTTTGCTTATTATACTCGATTTATATACCGTATGTAGTTATAAAGGCTTAAATATTTATAAGGAAAACAATTACGAAGATCTGTAGCGGTTCCTTAGAAGCGTCATAGGCGCTTTATACTGCCAGGACAGCGATCTTTGGAGCGGCGTCATATATTTTTGTTCAGTGAATTGCAGTTTCTCTTGCCTCACTTCTAATCGTTTCATTCTTCCGAGAAGAAACAAATTGGCCCTTGTAAAATGGACAGCCAGTGACCTCCAAATCTGGTGCAGTTCAACCGCTGATTGTGGAGCTGATGCGAATACCGCATCGAACAGGCGCCAGATATATCAAATATGCTGAAAATACTGTCATGTTTTCCTGTTGTTCATGAAGTTGCGGATGAAATTGTTTTCCACTAAAGTATAGGACTTCATCTCTTGATCTACTAATACCATTCTTAGTAATTTTCGAAAAGCTAGTAAACTTCACATTTGATTTGGCAAGGAATTCCCAAAAGAATTGACATATCTTTGTAAACCTCACTTTTACAGCAGCCTCTGAAATGAATGACCTCGCATAAATCTAGACTGTTGTTTCTCATGGAGTTCTCAGGTTTTATCAGTGTAGCCTTTTCTTCCCATGGCATGCATATTTGGTCCGTTTTTTGGGACCGTCGGTCATTCCACTAAGACCCAACACATCGAACTCATGCTTGACTTGATATCAGTCTAGCTCTGTGATATCAACTGGTCTAAGTTAGTTCTTCCAATATCATTACTCTTATTGGCATGGCTTTCACATTATACTTTATTATGTGTCGTAGCTACTAAACTGCACTTAGTAAGTCTTTTTCCAGTTCTTACTGGAGTAACTGTCCGTATTAATTTATGGATAAATCGCAGTAAACCGTTTCTTCTGTCCATTTACTGTGTGAACAGAGAATAATGGCTCATAGACTAGACGAACTGAACGTCCAATCTATATGAATAAATGATTCCTTCAAATGAAGAGAAATTAGCAACGTCGAATCACCTGAACGGTTAAGATCTGAAAATTCCATTGTAAAAATACTGTCTGAACTTACAAATTCATTTCTTTATCCCGGTGAATCAAGCCAAATTTATTAAGTTACTTTACATCACGTCCAACTCATACTGAATGTAGTATTTTCTTTCCTTAGCAGCGACAGCGATTAAATACAATTGTTGATATTTTAGCAGAGCCGGGCGAATCTTTGAAGATTATATTGGCGAAAAACTAATTTGACTATTCGCTAACAACATGTATTTCAGATAATTGAGAACGATGATCATATTTGGTTTAGCCAGTATTGGCGACAAATGAATGTTGCCGGTTGCAATATGCCCACCGTTCCTCATTGTTTCGAGCCCTTTCTCACCATGCTCGGGCTTTCCGGCTCCTGGTGTAATCTTCCTACCTTTGTGGTGGGCGAAAGCATCCCAGTTTGCACGCGAGGTATCACTGGACAATCACAGCTGACCATCTCCCGTCGGTTAGCAAACAATTTTTCAGCCCCTCGAACCTCCCCTTTTTTGTTTTACACCACGACCTTCACTCCCGTGCGTTGTCTGATATCCGTGTTGGCAATAGCTACATGAGTGACAGATAGTTGGCACTATTTCGTTTACGCAAGTGATCACCACGATAATAGTCCCCAAGACTGAGCGTATCTCCAATTGAACAGCGAGTTTACTTTTAAGAACGATAAATATTAATAAATGGATCAGTTACAAGGTTAATCGGTCGCAATAACAAGGTTAAATATGAAATACTGAAATGATTCATTGCGACGAAGACGCCTGCATTTTAATTTTGTCATATTCTTCTCTTTATTGGTTTTCTGAAAATTGTTTGAAAATCATTATTATTAATTACTACAATGATTTGTATAGGAAGCATACGAACGTTCTGTACAAAGGCGTAGAATTATTCAAGACGTTTTTGAAAGTTTCCCTTTCTGAAGTTTGCACATATCTAAACAATGGATCTGTGATTCCGAATAATGTGATACTGCAGTGCGTCATTTCTCAGGTGAGTGCTGTGACAAATTTTATATTTAATTAAAAAGGGGTTTCAATTCAAAGAGCTCTATTCTTGCATCATACGAGTTAGTAATGAAATGTTTTAAAGTTAATAATATTAATCTAGCTGTTCACAAACATCGCGGTTCAAACACCCCTGCCCTGTCCGCATTCCGGTGGAGAAGAGCATAAAACATGGGAAACTTTCCCAACTCTTCACTGTCTGTCTGGAAATGGTTATCAGGGAATAAATTGGAAGGGTGAGGTTAATATCAATATTGAACAGATCAGTCATCTAAGATTCGCTGATGCCATGCTATATGGGGAAAACATCAGCCAGCTACAAAGCATGCTGCAAGGGTATGACAGAAAACGTGCAAAAGTCGGGTTGTGAATCATTCGTTCCGGGACAAAGATACTGCGACTGGTTGCCCTGCCCGAAGGCCAGGTGGTGTGAAACGGTGAAAGATCGAATAAGTCGACTACTACATTTATATGGGCTAAGCGATCAACATGCGGCATAATCAGAATGGAAAGATTCAAATAAGTGGGAGAGGCGGTTGGCGTACGTTCCATTCCTTCAAGGACATTTTCCTCAGCAAAATGAGGAAAGAAACCTCATCCATCTGTTCTATTCTGCTGTCCTGCCGGGCAGTGAGACGTAGTCATTCACTAAAGCCGAAGAGCACCAGCTATCTATCACCGACAGGGCCATGCAAAGTAGAAAGATGTGAATCTCACGTCGCGACCACATCTTCAACATGGCGATCAGACAGCGGATGGGAGTGAAGAATGTCGTCGTCAAAATCAGAAAGGGGACGTTACGTTGGGCCCGGCCCGGCTCTTAGCTCGGCTCAGCGGACTAGAGATGGTTGGTGATAATCGTTCACTCGTACCCTCACGAACGGAATGTGCCACCTAGTCGTCCACTGTGACGGTCATAAGGTTATATCAGGAGCCGGGAAGACCGCATTTGGTCAAAAACAGGGAAGGCTTGAATTCGCGGAGTGACGGGTGGCGGACTTGTTGCGGTCAGCGCGATTCGTCGCCGATTGCTGGTCGATACAAGTGATCCAAGTGAATCATTTTCAAGTTGTCTAAATCAACTAATATGCACCTTTTTTGGTCTTCCCTTTCTGATCCGTGATTAAACAAAGCAATGTAAAATCCTTTATTTAGCGACGCGTACCAGGTCTTCATTAGAAGATTACTCTGATAATGAATACAGTGAAAAACCCTAACTACAAAATACTGAAATTTATTTTATGCACTCATTGCCTCAGCATAAAGTCACTTTACAACATTATCGATTATTTTGTTTGCAGGAAACTCCGGGGTGGAAGTTCTTCTCCAAGCCATTCGGCATCGTTATGTTTGGAAATTTCCTTCTTCGAGCTTTCGTGCAAACGGTTAGTATACTTTTTTAAAGTGAAGTGTTAAAATCGACTGCTTTACAGCCTAAGGGAAACAAGCACCGTAACAAACCGCTGGTCTTGGCCGTATCTTTGAGGAATGAAGAAAACACAAGTCTCGTCGTTGGTGTACCGCCCATTTATGTACAGCTGACCGGAGAGAAGCCGACGAAGTATGTGTTCGTTGAATTCTTTATTAACTGAGTTACAAAGCATGGAAATCCCTTCTTTATGAGCATATAAATAAAGTAGGATATGTAGATTAGAGGTTGAACCATTATTGGTTCAAGTAACCAAATACAGCAGATTGTAAAATTTTTATTGCCAATGCGTTTCGCTACATACACCATGGCATCATCAAGTACACAAACACAAGCATCATCATCAGGTACACAAACACAAGCATCATCATCAGGTACACAAACAGCTGTTTGAAGGCACATATCCAACAAGCAAACAGTACTATACTATATTGTTATAGACTAATAGTGTTCGCTTGTTGGATATAATTGCCTTCAAACAGCCATTTTTGCGCAACCCTGATGATACTACGATGTATATTGCGAAACGTGTTGGCAATAAACTGTTGTAATATCTGTTTGGTTCCCTGCACCACATATCCTTCAACCACATATCTGTGTAACTACGGGCCTAGAATCAGAAGCATCGTGTCTTATTTAAAGTAGAATATGACTGGAAAAGATTTTACTTTTTGAGTGGAGTCACCAACGAGTCCTATTTTTCACTGTAACTACGAAAAGCAAATCTTGAATACAATCCATTTTCGAAAGAAAAAATATCTATAGCAAATATAGAAATTATTGAAGGACTGCAGAAAATGTATAGACGATAAAACACTAAAACCAAAACCTACAAAAAAATTCTGCAAAGCTAATTACTCCTGTTTGGCATCCTCTGGACCTCAGATTCTTAGAAAGACGATAGCACAATCGTCTGCTTACAATTTCTCACTCTGGTTGAAGTGTTTATATGCGTTGAACGTGTTCACCTGCTTCAGGGCATGCATTGCGAATGACTTTCATGTAATGGGTGCGTAGTGTTTTACAAATGTTTTTTCCCATTTCCACTCAGTGTGTGCTTGTAGTAATAATCACTTTCAGCCGTTAACATGTATGATTTGTGACGATACCTTACTGACAGCTTTTTAATACTTTCGCTAAAGGGCACCGGTTAGTGCATCTCAGAAAGAAATATTCGTCTTCGAAATCATATTTATCTCCACCTTGTTTTATGCTAGCCTCCCGGTCGACATCTGCCATGTTGCGTCTCCCACACGAGAAACTTGCGGGCTGGAGTAAATGGTCAATGCTCTACCATTTTGCATAACAGGTCTAACCTCCTTTGCATAATCGACTCATCTATGACGGACTCCTGCGCCTAAAATACAACTGATTCATTACGTTGTCCCTTCCATTTACCCTTGACGATATTTCAAAGCCAACGCTGTCATAGGGAGTTTAGCCATGGTTCATGCTCCTTGGTTTGACAAATTATTTGTGAAATGACACGGG